GGGAGGGATTAGAGTCTGGAAGGTGCTGGTTTACAGGGAGTTGTTTGTTTTGAGGATGCTGGTCTGGAAGCAGTGCTGGTTTGGAGGGATGCAGATTTTGGGAGGGGTTCTTCTAGTCTTGGAGGGATGCTGGTCTGGGAGTGATGCTGGTTTGGGAAGGGATGTTATTAAAAAAAAAGGTCTGAAGGGATGCTGGTTGGGGGAAGGTTGTTTGTTTGGAGGATGCTGGTTTGGGGAGGGATCCTGCTTTGGAGGATGCTGGTTTAGGGAGGGATGTTGATTTGAAGGATGCTGCTTTGGGAGGGATGCTGCTTTGGAAGATGCTGTTTGATTGATGCTGCTCTGGGAGGGGATGTTTGAGGGAAGAGATGGTGTCCAGGCTGGGGCAGAAACCTGGGGGGCACAAATACACCCCAAAACCCAGGGGCTGGGCTGCAGCACTGGGGTGCAGGGCAGGACCCTGCCAGAGCCAAGGGACCCATCAGTGCCACCCACTGCTCACTCTCCTCTTCCACCTCTTCTCCAAGAGACAAGGCAGGGAAGCCAGGGCTGTGGGAAACATCTGTACAGGGAAAACAGCAGCAACAACCCCCCCTCCCCTCCCCATCCACCCATGAATATTCCTGCTGGTCCCAGATCCCTTTCCCAGCAACACTGAGGGTGCCGTGAAATTCAGGAACATGAATTAATACGCAGAGGGGAATTGGGCCCTATGAGCCCCCACCTCCTCCTTTCCCCCCAAAAATGCTGGCTCATGACGATCAGGAGGGGTTTGTTTGGGGGTGCTGGGAGGGAGGGTGGGCAATGTGGGGGTGCTGCCAGCTGTGGCCCAGCCTCTGGGGTGGTTTTGTTCCCTGAGCTCAAAGGTGGGGAACTGAGGCAGAGAACCATCAAAATCAGCCTGGATGTCACTTGGGGTGGCTGAATGTGCATTCCCCCCCCCCCCCATTAGTGTCCCTCATTTTCTTCCCCTCGTTAACATTCCTTTTCTGCTGGATCAACACCCTGGAGTAGCTCAGCCCTGATGGGAGCAAGGAGGACTGGTGTACCCTGGGTGGGGAGGGGGCTGCTCTGCTCCAGCATCCCAAAGGAAACTGTGACTCTGCTGTCACCTGGAAAACCAGAACACTTTAAAAAGCTCCATAGGAACCAGGGAGGGGTCCTGGAGGGGACTGGAGCCCAGAGCATCGCTTTGCCCCCAAAGGGAAACTGAGGCACAGAGGGGGAAGCCTTTTATTTGGCAGTTCTGGGGGGCCCAGCCTGCTCCCAGCTCCTGTGATTCTGGAGCATGGATCAACCCCGGGGGCTGGCAGTCCTGGTTTTTGGGGCTTTTTGCTGGGTAACATGAGGGTGATCTCCCCCCCTCCAGGGGCACGAAGGCGATGCAGCCCCTGACTCAGTTCTCCCCGGGACCAAGGGAGCGGCGAGTTCCCAAATTTGCCCCGTGACGCCGAACCACCCACGTGGCGCGGCCGTGGGGGATTTAATGACCCGTGTTATTATAACACCAGCCATGCTTCCCCATCCAAATCCATCCCTTCACAGCGGGAGCCCAAACCCACTTACGTTGCAGGGCCGAGGAGGACGCAAAAGCCCTCGGCTGGGAAAACTTTTCTTTAAAAGAACCCCAAATGTCAGCTCTAAATTGGGTGTTCCGCGCTCCTGCTCCGTCTCTTCATTACTGTATCGTAAAATTACATTAAGCCGGGAATGATCTGCATCCAAATGACTCTGTGTCTGGAATGATAACGCAGGAATATGAGATTAAAATGTAATTATGCTCTTTAAAGTCAAGGAAGGTTAATAAAATGTTTTTCCAAGTTGCAGAGGCTCCGCAGCCGCCACACGGAATCACTTACGGGAATCAAGGGGAGGGCGAGGAGGGAACGGGGAGGAAAAAATGGGTGGAAAACATGAAAATGGGGGTTTGGGGGAGGAAATATTGGGGTCACATGAGGTGAGACATGGGATAAGTGATCTCAGGGTCATGGGTTTCACAGGGCTGGGCAGAGCCAGCTGGGAATATCCTTGCTGGGCTCTGATGTTCCCTGGTACCTGGGATGATGCTGGACCCCCATCCCACATCCTGCTCCCAGTCAACACTTTGGGGCTACTCAAAGTCGTGCCCCAAATCCTCCAGGCCCCAAAGCAGGCCCAGGGTCCCTTCTCTGTGTCTCCAGCACTGGATTTGCTCTGCCATATCCCTGCTCTTCCCCAGGCTCTTCCCAGGGCCCCAGAGGATCTCCCTTCATTAGCGCTGATCTCCTAACGACGTGTGCCATGGCATTCGTTGGCACAGTTAGTGGCTGCCATCCTTTTCCCAGAGCCCCTTGGGAGTAAGGGAAGCCCCAAAGGCCTGACACGGGATGGAGAGGGAGCAGCACCCTCAAATCCACTCCCCTGCTCAGCCAAAACACAGCCCCAGCTCTTGTAGAGACCAGCAGAGGGGCTGGGGTTGCTGGAGGGGCTCAGCCATGGAGCTTATGGAATCAGTAAGGTTGGAAAAGCTCACTAAGATCATCCAGTCTAACTGTTCCCCCAGCACTGCCAAGGCCACCACTAACCCATGTCCCCCAAGTGCCACATCCACACAGCTTTTGAATCCCTCCAGGGATGGGGACTCCAACACTGCCCTGGGCAGCTGTGCCAGGGCTGGACAACCCTTTCCATGAAGAAATTTTCCCCAATATCCAACCTAAACCTCCCCTGGCACAACTTGAGGCAATTTCCTCTTTTCCTCAAAATATAAAAAAAATAGCAACAACACTGGGCGTCCTGTTCTAATACCTGACCACCCTTTCCACAAAGGAATTTTCCTGAATATCCAGTCTAAGTCTCCCCCATCCACCATTAACAGTGAGAGGTTCCTTAGCTCTGATGACTCCAACAAAGTCTGTGTGAGCCCCTCCAGAGGCTGGAGAAGGGATGGAGGTCACAGTGCTTGGCTGCAGCACATAGAGCTCCAAGTGCCAAAGTTTAACCAGGATAAACTAGAGTGACAACATTTAATCAGGATAAATTAGAGAGTGTTGGGAAAAGGGATGAATTTCGCCTGTTTGTGCATTTTCCTGCCTTTGCCATGGATGCAGCAGGGAAGGAGAAACTTCCTGAACACATCACTGATGCACTGGGAATATGGAGCAGGTGAGGCTGGCAAGGGAGAACTCCCTTCTCCTGCCTGGGAGGACTAATGATCCTCAAATGGATCTGTCATGAACGTGTCACTGTCACCCCATGGCTGGGGACTGGTGGAGAGGGGGGTCCTGCACCTCCTGCCTTTTTCATGTTCAAGGATAAAGATGCTCCTTTGCTCCCAGGACAGTGGGAAAACAGCTTTGATGCTCCTTTAAAGGAAGTCAAGCTTGGTTGGGGTGCTGCCTTGCTGCCCTTTCCCTCCAAATCCATCCCACTGGGATATGGATGTCACATGAGAAGGTCACATGAGACCAACAAGGGATGGATTTATCCGAAAAATGCTCAGAGAGCATTAGAGGAAATGGCTCAAGCCTCAATCCAAGGCCATTCCCCTCCTCCTGGGGAGAAGACAGGCTTGGTGCCGGGAATAAATTTGCTGGTGGTGTCTGTGTGGGAGCTGAAGAGGGATTGCTGTGGGTCCTGGAATACCCATGGGAATTCCTGGCTCTGTGTCACCCACCACCCAGCCCATTGCCTCGGGGTGCAGAAGGTCCCTGCTGCCCACAGGGGTTTCAGTGCCCCGGGTCAGGGGGCCTCACACCCAGCTGGGACACCGGGTCCTTCAGCGAGCTCCAAGATGTGGGCACAGAGGGAAACTCACCCCTGGATCCTCAGCAAGAAGGGACACAGTAGGTTAAACGTGCTGCAAAGGGTCCTATAGGGTTAAGAGGAGGAGAAATTGGGGGATGAAGGCTCTGGGAAACCTGATATGAGGTGGAAATGAGCCCTTCTCTGAGCAGAAGAGGGACCTGATGTCCCAACACCACTGTCCCTTCCAAACTCTGCTCCTTGCTCGCTCCCTGTCCCTCCCTCCCTCTCCTCCAGAACTGAGGGAACCTGGAGATAACTCAGGAGATGGCTCCTGCCTGGATCACTGCCCAGCAGGATATCACAAGGAACTTTTGGCCAGTGGAGATACTTGTCTGAGCCAGTGGCTTTGGGTTTTGTTGGAAGCATCCAGAGGCTTTGTTAACGCTGGAGAAGGTGACAGCTGTGTGGATTGTGAGCTCCTGCAGCAGCCACCCTCCTCCCTTCCCTGGAGATCCATGTGGAGGGGGAGGTGTGAGAGCTGAATCACCCCTGAATGGCTCACTGCAAACACGACAACACCACTGCATCAAGTCGATTTTGTTGCCTCTGAATTGTGGGATTTTTTGGAAGTTTTTGCCTGTTCTCTAAGAGTTTCTTATTTAAGGATGCGGGATTTTCTATTTTTGCTCCTAGTGGAGACAGGCCATAAACTCCTGCTGACGCAGACAGGGAGCAGGATCCGTGTGGTGCCGGGACAACGCCGTGTTCCAGTGGAAGAGCAGCTCCTTCCTGTGTCAGGAACACCACAAGTTGCTGAGGTGTTTTTTGAGAGTGACTAAAGGTGTGACAAAGGTGAGTTGAGTCAGCTGGAGGCTCTTTATGGCCCAGAACATCAACCAGGATATAGGAATTACCAATTAAGTGCCAACAACAGAGGGTTATGAAGGTGACAAACACCCTGCTGTCACCAGACCCCCCGGCACATCCAGGATGGAACATATCCCAGCCATTTTCCTTCTGCCTTTTCTCTGAGCAGCTCTTTGAAGCCCAGACCCCCAGGGGTGCAGGTGTCTGAGTCTCAACCCTGTGATCCATGAGGCTGCTGCCACAACCTCTCTCAACCCCCTAGGTCTGTGTGTTGATTGAGCTTTTTCCAGCCCATTTGTTCCTGCTCCACACAGAGATTTCACTGCACAGAGATTCCCTCCACGACATCATTAAGCCTCACAATGAGACCAATTAGGAGCCAGAAAGAGAAACCTGACTTTAAACATTTTATTAAGGCTTAAATGTCTATCAGCCAGCCTGGAGCTGGTCTGGTCACACGACATAAACCGAGAGGGACGTCGGGTGGGATGGGATGGCTTTTCTACAAGAGTTGGTGTGAGCAGGGGTGAGATCACTGCCAGTTCCTCATACCTTAACCAGGGCCTCTTACCGCTGGATTCTGGGATGGAGGAGGATTCCAGGATGAAGGATGTGCTCTGGGAGGAGAAAGTGAGGTGGGGAGGGAGGAGGGGGGGAAGTCAAGGAGCTTCTGTGTGTTGTCACTCACAAGGACTTTTCCTGCTCCACAACCGAAGGGGGCTGCTCGTCAGAGGTGTGGTCTGAGCTCCCGGGGAAGCTGCACTCGCGGTCCGAAAGGCACCTAAAGCTAAACCACTGAGCCACGGGGAGGTGGTGGGAGGGCGGGTGGAGATCAGTCCTGTATAAATACACGTTCCTTGATAAAGAAGCTATGGCTTTTGTTATCCTCCGGCGCGGTGCTCTAACCCCCCACCCCCCGCCCCGCTACTCCGCAAGCACAACACCGAGTCCTCTCCGCTCTCCGGCTCCTCCTGCGGGCCGCTGATGCTCGGGCGGATCCACGGGGAACGGCACCAGCTTCTCGCCCTCGTCCTCCCGGCAGCCCGGGGGTCAGAAGTGAACCCTCCTGACGTCCTGGGTGGCTGCCGACCTCTTGCAGCTCCCGCACTGGATGGGGGACGGCGCCTTCTGCCGCTCGGCCAGGCAGGGCCGGCACACGAGGTGCCCGCAGGGCAGCTGGTAAATGGGCTCCGGTTTGAAGTAGGAGGAAAAGGTTTTGCCGCAGGAAGAGCATCCCTGGGTCTGGCTGCTCCTGCCGTGCTCTGCAAATCACAGGATCACAGGATTGTGATTCGGGCTGGAAGAGACCTCTGGGATCATCGAGTCCACCCTGTGACTGATCCCCGCCTCACCACCCAGCCCAGAGCACTGAGTGCCACCTCCAGGCTTCCCTGAAACACCTCCAGGGATGGGGACTCCACTACCTCTCCAGGCAGCCTGTTCCAACATCTAATCACCCTTCCTAATGTCCAACTTAAACCTCGCCTGGTGCAGCTTAAGTCTATAAAGAAAAGGGGACAGGAGCAGTGGATCTGCTGGGGGGTGATATGTCCAGGCTGGGCCACTCCTCTGTACCCAATCCTGCCCAAGAGCCAAGGGCCCCAATTCCTGCAGACACGGGGCACTCATGGCTCAGGACTGTGCCTCTTTCCTCTGCCACTGCCCTAAGGAAAGGGAATGGTCCAGCTTCCAGGGCAGGCTGTGCTCAGGGAAGGCTGGATCACGTCAGCACTTGCACCGTCAGGCTTTTAATTGAGGACAGATGACTGTAAGAAAGGGCTTTTCACTTTTACTGAGACTTAACTCATCCTCCCTCCTGCTTTTCCGACATGGATTAAAAGCAGCGATTCCCAGTTGGAATGCTTTAGGTATCACTTTGCATTCCTGTCACACACGACCCATCCAGGTCTACTCAGTCAGCTCTTAAACAGCAGCGATCTTAGAGGGGACACGAAAATGCTTAATGACTGAATGTCACTGTGGAACAGCAAAACCTGTTGGGGGAGGGAGGGGGAGAGGGAGAGAGACAGACAGACAGACAGACAGCCCTGGTCCTTCCATGGGGTCAGCTGGTCCTTCTGAACCTCCTTCTTGGCAGAGCCTCACAGAGGGGAAGGGAAGCCAGCACTGGATGTAAGCCTGGGGAGGGACATCTGAAGGTTCAGTGTTTCCCTGAGTCCCAAAGAGGTAATTTGGGGAATGCACACACAGCTGGATGAGCGTGTCCAGGCAGCAAGTGGGAAGAAGACAGCGAGGCCTGGGCAGCCTGGCTTTCATATACTCAATCCTGATGGGATTCTGGGCACACACGTGGCTGGTTGGCCTGTGACGTTGCTGCTGGGACCTGGTCCTGTTAAGGGTCAGGAAGCCTGGTCCTGTTAAGGGTCAGGGATTTCGAAGAATCATGGAATGGTTTGGGTTGGAAGGGACCTCAAAGATCATCCAGTTCCACCCCCTGCCCTGGGCAGGGACACCTTCCACTAGCTCAGGTTGTTCCAAGCCCTGTCCAACCTGGTCTTGGACAGTTCCAGGGATAGAGGGGCAGCCACAGCTTCTCTGGGCAACCTCACCACCCTCACAACCAAGAATTCCTTCCTTATATCCAATCTAAACCTACCCTTTTAGTTTAAAAACATTCCTCCTTTGTCCTATCACTATCTGCCTGTGTAAAAAGCTGCTGTTCCCCTTTTTCACAAGCCCTCTTTAAGCACTGAAAGGCCACACCATTTGCTGGATTTACACCTCTCCAGTGGCATCTCCAACCAGACTCATTCCCCATCCACGTGACAGCTCCCAGCTTGCTCCATGCAGCTCTCAGGCAACATTTAAACCACTCAGCCCAAACTGCAGAGCTCTGGGAACAGCCTGTACTAACCTGGAGCAGGCTGGGCTGAGCACTGTGTCCCAGCACAACACATCCTGGATCACCCCTGGGCAGCACAGACATGGGACAGCCAAGAACATGGGAAAATCATAGGAGTCATGTCCCAGCCTGCTCTGACTCTGGGCATGGACAACAACATACACTTTCTAGGGGTCAGCAAGGTGGGAGAACAAACCATTGCACTGCTGAGATATTAGCTGAGTTAAGGATTGTGAAGTAAAGCCTGCTGGGAGACAATGTAATATTTCTGTACTGAATAGGTAATATTTTGGGGTCTGAAGAAGCACACCTCCCAGAGGTGATCCAGAGGCACTTGCTGCTTACCAAGGACTGTGCCCACGCTCCAGGAGCTGCTGCAGCCTCCCTCACTTGGCTGCTGCTGGCTCTTCATCAGCTTGGCCGTGAAAGAGGGCATGGAGCTGAGGGCCGAGGTCAGGGCAGTGTCCAAGCTCTCCGACAGCTTCTGCTCGTGGGACACCAGATCTGCAAAGAGGAGCACAAAGACCAGCTCTGCAAAGAGCAGCACAAGGACCAAAGACGTGCTCTGCAAAGAGATCAAGTAGTGGGAGTTGGGAAAAAAAAAGGTGCCATGGAAATGCTGCTTTGGCTCTGAACCTTTGGGACAACACTCGGGTTTTTAGAAGCCCTGCCACTTGTTTTCTTGAGAGGTGTCTTTTTCCCACCCAGGCGCCTGGATAAGGATGGACTGTCTCATCTCCTTTGGGTCCTAAAGGTGAAAAACCCTATGGATTACAACCAGACATTCCTGTGGTGTCCCAGTGCCAACTTATGCAGAATCAGAGAATCCTTTGGGTTGGAGAAGCCCTCCAAACCCATCATGTCTAAATGTTCCTCCAGCTCTGCCAAGCCCACCACTAAACTATATTGTCAAGTGCCACATCCACATGGCTTTTAAATCCCTCCAGGCATGGGGACTCCACCACTGCCCTGGGCAGCTGTGCCAGGGCTGGACAGCCCTTTCAGTGAAGAAATTTTCCCCAATATCAAACCTAAATCTCCCCTGGCACAATGTGAGGCCGTTTCCTCTTGTCCTGTCACTTATTACCTGAGGGAAGAACCAAACTCCCACCTGGCTCCACCCTCCTGTCAGGAGTTGTAGGCATCTGCAGGTCTAAAAAAGGGCAAAACCCCAAATAACCCAGACATTTGTTTTTCCCTGAAGCCCCAGGCCCTCCATCAGCCCTCTCCCTGAGGATCCCAGCCCAGTGCTCCCAACCTTGCTCCGTGCAGCTCACAGAGAACGTTTAAACCACTGATAAAATCTGTGGGGCTTGTTTTTTCCCCTCTGTCCCAGCTGTGATCTCAAGGCCCAGGGCTGGACCCTCCCTGCAGTGCCTCGTCCTGTGCAATTCTGACAGCACAGTTAATTAAGGCTCAGCATTGGGAGAATGTTGCCTGCATCACTAATTCTGTTAATCCATCACCTCCCAGAGGAACACCTCGGAATTAGTGCTGCACATTTGCCCCAGCAATCAAGGCTGATGACACACTGAAGCACAGCTCCCTGGGCTGTGCTTTTATTTATGTACTGTCACAGCTCCCCCAGGAGCTCCAGGACCCCCAGGGCAGGCCCTGCTCCTGTGGGGCTTGGGCACACCCCTGCAACCAAAATAACTCATGATTCCTCCTAAACCAGGGAATCAACTCCAGACTGAGGGATCAGAGCAGAAATGTGCAGTCTGACTCCTCCCTGCCCTTTCCAGGACCACCAAACAACAAGTATTTTCAACCAAGGAATTTGTTTAAAATCAAACCACTGCCTGAGCTTTTCCCTCAAAACACTTTTTTTTGGCAATTTGGGAGAAAGGTGAAGGCAGTGGAAGGACCCAGCAGCCAGAAGCTCTGGGCCACCTTTTGAGATGTTTTAGACCACTATGTTAGAGAATACAAGAGGACTGGACTTACCTGCCTGGAGATCACACAATGTGTGACCACAAGACACCCACATATTTGTATTTACACCTCCTGCTCAGCCCAGAGCCTCACAGGAACAGCTGCTCCCTTCAACCTCACCTAAATGTGAGCTGCTAAAGCCATTTCTTTTCCCACTTCCCAGCTTAAGTTCCCCTTCCTCCTCCAGCAGGATCATTACCCCAAGCAGGAACTCAGTTTAATGACACCAGAGAAGATTAAGCTTTGCTGTGTGCAGCAGTTAGAGCCATGTAACAGCTGCACAGCAACTCCAACACAGGAATTCCTGTGACAAGGCAAAATGGATCACAGAATTATGGAATTGCTAAGCTTGGAAAAGCCCTCTGAGATCACCGAGTCCACCCACCCCCCCCAGAGCTATCAAGGCCACCACTAATCCACGTCCCAAAGTGCCACGTCCACATGGTTTTTGAATCCCTCCAGGGATGGGGACTCCACCACTGCCCTGGGCAGCTGTGCCAGGGCTGGACAACCCTTTCCATGAAGAAATTTTCCCAAATATCCAACCTAAACCTCCCCTGGTGCAACTTGAGGTTGTTATCTGGGAGACCAACCCCTCCCCAGGCTCCACCCTCCTGTCAGGGAGTTACTGAGAGCAACAAGGTCCCCCCTGAGCCTCCTTTTCTCCAGACTGGAGAATGTTTTGTATTCCCAGCAGTGCTGCTACCAAATCACTGAGAAAAGCATGGATAAAAGGAAACCAGTCCCCCCCTTCCTTCTGCTGTAGCCACAAGGGACACCCCTTGTCTAATTTAGTCCCTACCCGGTTTTCTGCTTTAACCACCTGCAAGCCCTGTGCAAGTCTCTCCCAGCCTGGGCTGTCCCTCCTCCCTGCTCTGGAGGCAGCACTGCCTGCAATTCCCTTGCTGTGGTTGGTTCCAAGTGCATCCCACTCCTGCTTTCCTCCCCAGCTCCCTCCTCAGGATAAGATCCGCACAGCCAGGACCCCCTGTGCCATCACCCCCAGACACTTCTCTTCCTGTTTTTGCAGGACATAATAAATCACCCTGGATAAGGAAACTTCCAACCAGCACAGTGAGGAAAATGCTGCCTCCACATGGACGGGGAGGAGGAGAAAGGAAATCCAAACTAAAAGGAAAAGGTGGTGACCTGAGCAAACAAGGGGGCTGTGAAACAGACTGGACAGGTAACATGAGAGGTGAATGAAATGACCCATCAACAGGCTGGAAGCTTCCTAGAGGTGGGATGGGAATCCATGCTGGAGCAAATCTCCTGATTTGAAAACCCAACCTCAGGCTGTCACAACACTGAAGAAACAGAGGTGACCTCGAGGGAGCCACGATACCTGTGGAACAGTCCATCTGGGTCAGGTGGGAGTCACTGTCAGTTCTCAGTTTTTTAGCACTGTTCTCTGAGGTAGAGGAGACAAGTAAGTTTGTAGCAGAAAAATAGGGCGGCTGCAGGGAGCCCTGGTCCAGGCAGTCCATTTTCCTTTTCAGAGAAGACATGGTTACGGAAGAGGGCACGAGGGTCTCCGAGGAATGAGCCCTCCCCAGCAGGTTGGTGCCAGGGATGCTGTGCTGCAGCAGGAAGTGGTCTATCCTGGCCTTGAGGGTGGGGTGAGGTAGGGGCTGCGAGTGCTGGCTGAAGGCCACCCCGGTGAAGGGGTCGCTGGGGACCCTCCCCCAGGACGCCTCGCTGCGGTTGCACTTTTCCAAGGTGGTCTGGTCGATCACCTTCCCGGAGGGCAGGAGCATGGGGAAAGTCATGATCTCCAGGGTGATGGGGTCCAGGAATTCCTCGGGGATGTCCTGGACGACGTCCACCAGCTTGCGGAGGGTGTGCTGCTCGCTGTCGCTGGCGCTGAAGGGGACGCAGTCGCTCTCCATCGGCGTCCACAGCTCAGGCTTGAGGCCGCCAGCGTCCTGGGCCAGGAACTGGGAGGCCACCTGGAAGACGCCCTCAATCACCTCCTGTGGGCAGGACTTGGCAGGCTGTGCCCACACCTCCAGCCTCTTGATGCTTGGCAAACCACCCCCCGCCACGTGCGTGATGCAGATTTTCAGGTGCGACACGTTGCTGAGCGAGGCGGGGCCTTTGTTCCAGAGGTCCTGGGACACGGAGCCGGGGTAGGAGAAGACATTTTCCATCTGATGGAAGGGAGGCCTCGGCTTGAAGCCTCTGTGGCCGAAAGTCACTTTGCTTTGATTCTTTAGGACAGCTTTGCCCACCAGCGTGAAAGTGTCTTTGTCCGACACAGGCTGCCCGGCCAGACCTGAGAAGGGCCCCTCGGGGCTCTGCCAAGAGGTTTTGTGGCTTGAGGTAGAGGTGTAAACTTCGAGCCCAGAGAAGGTTTGGTACCCCCCAGAGGAGATGTCGATGTTAATCCTGCAGATCTCGATGTTGAAGGGAAAGGAGATGGTGACGTGGACCGGGGGTTTGATGAAGTACTCGCTGCGGAAACCGCGGTTCCTCCTGGCCAGGTCCTCGGAGATCAGGTTCTCCACTTCGTAGCCATCAGCAGAGATCTGTGTCCCAGGAGAAAACTGGGGTTAGTTTGGAGCAAGAAAATCAAAGGAAAACTAAATTCACAAGCACTTAGGTAGATTCTCAAGGTGACATCAAACAAGAGGCAACACCACACTGTGGTTTATGTGCAGCTGAGACAAGGCAGCAGATCCCTGCTCCCACCCACTCCCACCCTCCTCCAGCCACATGATCCCATCCTCGCTTCCTGCAGCCTCTGTCACCTGTTCAGCCATGGGCAGAGCTGATTTAACTGCTGGAAGAGTGGAAAATTAGGGATGGTTTGTGGTTTTGGCTGGGTCAGTGAAATAAAGCAAGTGGGAGATGGTGGCTGGGAGCAGAGATGTGTGTGAGGAGATGGGAATCTCCTCTTTCGGTCTCCTTTTCACATGAGAGTCTCCCCTTTTTCCTTATGCCAGCTTCTCCTGCTGTGTGGAAATGCACTTGGAATCAGCACAGGATCCCAGAGAAGCCTCTGGAGGTCAGCCAGCCTCTGGGACCAACCCAAATCAGGCTGGATCTCCAGTCTCCCAGAACATCCAATCCCACCTTCTGCTTTGCTCCTGGGCAGGCTGGCTCCACCCATTCCCTTTCCTGGAAGCTCTGGGGTCTAAGAAAACTGCAGCACTTGCTAAATAAACAAATAAAAGCAAGGGATATCTATTTATTCCACCTGTTTGATAAGGGCTTGATCATGACAATGACACCTAACCTCCATGGCTTGGCTGGGTCTCTCCACACACCACCTGCAGGGATGGTCACACCTCTACTGCTGCAAAACCAGCACAGTGTTTACAAATCCAAGGCTGTCTTGGATTTTGGGGAGAGGTGCTGTGGAGATTTACAGTTAAAAAATAGCTCTGAGTTAAAACTGAGGGTTTTTTTAAGGGATTCTGACGTGCTGAGGGAAAACAGAAGTACTTGGAAAGTAACTTCAGCAAATGCTGTCAAGGGCTGTGTGTTCCACTGGACAAAGGGAAAGCTGGAATACTGCAGGGAAAAAGGGATCTCAGGTCAAAGAACACACACCTGATAGCACATAACACCATCTGGTTATGAGATCCTGCAAAATTAGGGCTTTCCCCTCCAACAGTTATTGGGTGCCACATGAGAGCAGTGATGTTAGTTATCCCAGAGGAACAGAGAACCCTCCCCAGCCCCAACCAGTCACTTCCATCTAATCCCTCCACCCCTCCAGTTCCCTAAAAACCCCCACATCACTATTTTACCTTGTTGCAGTGAATTCTTGGCTTGAACTGTGGGAGACAGACGTTTATGACCATCTTGGCAGCTGGAAAGGGGTCACTTTCTGAGCATCAGATTCAGCTTGTAAAAAAAAAATAAATTAGAAATAAAGGCAGTGAATATCCATGAACAGTGAAACATGGTTAGGAGCCTGGATGAGCTTGGGAATTCCTAAAATGCAGTTCAGATCTGATTCCAGGAAGTTAAGCCAATATAGACCCAAAGATTGTGGTGGACAGAGGGGATTGAAAAAAAAAAAATCACATTAATATTGATTGGTGAACCCCTGGAGAAACATCAGAGAAAAAAAGGCTATTTTAACTAAAAAATATGGACAGACCAGCAATTGGATGTGAAAATTTATCAGAGATGCAGGAGGTTTTGTAGATGCAACAAAGCACCAGCACAGCACAAGAGCCTGCCACAGGAGCTGGTGGGAGCCAAGATTAACCACAAATATTAATAACCAGTGTTAAATACCTCCAGAAGAGCAGAAGGGCATTGAATAGCTCTGAGGGAGATGTCTGGGTTCTGAACACCAGCAGCTGATTCTTCTGCCAATGTTCATTAAAGAAACTCGAGCGAACACACCTTGTTTTCCATTGGAAAAGAAAATGTGGCTGGAGTTGGCTCTATCTGATCCCTTTTAAGAATGAAATTATGTGTGAGGTAAGAGCTTTAACCTCACATTAACCCCAATTTTAACATGTCACTGCCTTGGGCAGCCCTGCAGATCAGGAACTCGCTGCCTCCTCCAGGAACAAGCATCTCTTTAATGATTTTCAGCCAAAGTTGTTAGTTCAGCCCAAATGAAATCAGCCTTCTGGGGGCACCTCGGTGCTGCCAGGGAAAGGCAGAGTTAATGAGCTGCATCTGAGAGGAGAGAGGTGGAATCCCAGGCACAAATCCCACATATAAAACCCAACACAACATGGAATCTGAGCCAGGTTACAATGCCAGTGCTTGACCAAAGCAGTGTGACCCCACCAAAGAGGTGTAACAGGGCAGGTGAGCAGCCCTTCCATCCCAATATTTGGTCTGGCAGCCATCAGGAGCAATTCCTGCTCCTCACCAGGGAACACAGGTCCAGGACAAGCACAAACCAACTCTCCTCCAGTACTACTTTCTGAGTCTGAGAGGCTGCCAGTGGGGAACTGGTCAAACAGGCTTTTAAACTGGTTTGACTTTTGGGCATCCACATCTTAGAGGAGAAATCTGAGGGTTTAACTACAAGTTCTGCCTCAAAACTGCCCCTTCTGGTTCATTTTGAGCCAAACTGAATTTACCAAGTGGTAAATTCACTCAGCCCTCAGCACTGGTGGTGTGAAAAATGGCAACTCAACTCTCTTTGCTCCCTTCCTTGGGAAGACTCAAGATTCTCCCTCTGTTCTCTCTCTCTCTCTCTCCTCACATCTCTTTCCTGGGCTGAAGACTTCTCCTGTGGCATATGGATAATTCAGGTATGTTTTACAGGATTTTTTTCCTACCCGTTTGTGACCCTGACAGACTTAAACAACTCTGGTTATTTTCACAGGTTCAACACCTCAGTAAGGAAAGGGATTATTCTCCATGTCTGAGTCACTGCTCTCCCTCCTACTGAAAAGTTATGCTACAGACTTCATGGCAAAAATTGGTCACCAAGTTGCTTTCACCCATGGCTGTGTTTTTTTTCCTCTCTCTTGAGTGTGAACCTTCTCTAAGGTGAACAAAGATCCTTCACTGAAGCAGTGAAATCTAGACCTGAAGGACTGTGATTTCTACTTCTCCGTGCCAGCAAAATCCTCTGTGGTCTTGGATAAGGAATTTCAAATCAGGCTGTCTGGAGCTCATCACAATGTGCTTCCTGGTGTCCTACGTACGACTATGGAGCTGCTGCCATAAGGAATGTGCATGGTGGACACCAAACTAAAGCCCTTGGAGGATGAAATTAATGTCTCAGGGTCTGAGCACCCCAATCTTCTGAGCACTCAGCACCCACACTCTGTCCTGCTAAAGGAGAAACCCAGGCTGTGCCCTCCAGCCCGAGCTTGATGGCAATGGGAACAGTGAGGAAATGAGTGTGTTCCTGGCACCCAGTTCAGCTTCATCACTAAATATTCTCTCCCAAATATCACTGTTCCTGCTCTCACAGAGCCACCAAATCCACCCACTTTGATCCAGGGCAGAGAAAGGAGTAACCACAGAGAGAAATGAACTGTTAGCAGGTTTTATTTGTCGTGGGAGCCTTTGAGGATCTGGGTACAAAAGGAGAGCACAGGACACACGGGTGTGAGCAGAGCAGAACTGGCCACGCAGCAGGGCCCAGAGCACCCACCAAAGACTGACCCACCGCTCAGAGACCAGTTTAACCAGTAACCAGCAGCAGGCAGGCACTGGGGAGGCTCTGAGCCAGCCCCACAGCCCCTACCCAGCCCCGCTGAGCAGCGCCGGGTCGAACACTTTGTAGTGGAGGTAGCTGAGCTTCTCGGAGCGCGAGCGCCGGAGCAGAGGGAACCATTCCCAGAAGGGCAGCTCCACCACCACGTATTCCAGGTGCCGGAGCTGCCGCCGCTTCAGGCAGTGCAGCCCCAGGAGCCGCTTGGAGCTGTAGCAGTAGTGGTTCCTGTTGGACACCTGCAGAGCCAGCCTCACCTCCCCAGGCTGAGCGAGGGATGGAGGGGCTCCAGGACAGCGCCCTGGTTTAGGCTCAGCTGGTGATTTGGCCCCTGCAGTAAGAGCTCCATCTGAGCACAGCATTCCTGCTTCATCCCCTCTCTCCTGCCTGCGAGTCCTGCCTTCATCTTCCACTTCCACGGGAGACCGGCCATGAGCTCTCCCCTTGATAAGCTGAGCCATCAAGTCATCTGTTAGACTGACTCCGATGTCTCTGAGCTTCCTGGCTGCCACACGACTCTTGAAGTTGAAGGGGATGGGATGTCCATCCGTGGCCAAACGCACCTCCAGGTCGCTGGACCTCGTGTGTGGCAGGATCATGTGGTTCTTCACGTACTCGGGGCCCCCCAGCATGCTCTCCAGGAGGGACGTGGCCTCCACGATTTCGGGCCTGACGTAGATCTCCTGCTCTGCAAAGCTCAAAGCCATCTCAGCGAACTCCTGGCAAAGCTGAGGCGGGAGGCGGTTGCCTCCATAGGTGGGGCACTCGATTTCAACGCTCTTCCCAAGGGTGAACAGGTCCTTGTTGAGCTCATATTTGCTGCCCCTTGTTTTCTGGACAAAATCCTCCCTCAAGGCATAGTCTATCAGCTCCTCTGGGAAGCGTTTGACAAAGGCCAGGCCAAGCAGAGCAGTGAGGAGATGCTCTGGAAACTTCTTAAATTCATGGAGTTTTTTATGGATCTGCTTTATGAGGCTGGAGTAGAACTCCTCCTCGTTGGGAGGTTCATAGTCCAGGCACCCAAACGACCACAGGAACTTGGCAGCGTCTTTGCTCCGGCAGTAGGACACCTTGGAAGGCAACGACGTGGCCACAGCAGCCAAAACACCCTCGTCAAAGTAGTGCAGGGATGAATAGGTAAGAGTGATGTGCATGATGCCCTGGATGTTCACTGTAGGAATCCGCTCGGGAATCACCTTCCCCAGCTCCTTCAGGAGGGGCAGGTGGTCCATGCGGGTGTAGCGGAGCATCTTGAGCACGTTCACCAGGGCGTAGGTGCTCATGTCCTCCATCTGCAGGGAGACCCTGTCCGCAATCCTCCTCATGACGTGGTCAGAGATGCCACTGACGGACTTGAAGAGCCCCAGGCAGATGGCTCCCAGCTCCTCCAGGGTGAAGGAGTCCAGGTACTTCAGGATCGCGCTCTCCACCTTCTGCGCCAAGTCCGCGGGCGACCGCCGGCCCTCCCCGATGATGTAAAGGAGCTGCACAAACTGGGGCAAGGTGAGGTCCTTCCAGTGCAGGTTGGCAAAGCTGAAGAGGATGCTGAGGTAGGAGGGCACGCTGCGCTCCAGGCAGCGCCAGCAATCCGCCACCAGCAGCAGCTGCTCCAGCTCCATGTCCCACGCCCGCCGGCAGAACTCGCCTCGCACGCGTCCAGCAGAGGGTGGGCGGGTGGGACGGCCAGGAGGACACAGGACTTTAGAACGTGGATGAGATCTGGGGTGCTGAAGAGCCTGATGGCTCGGACAGCACAGTGACACAGGGCATCAAACCTGGGCTCGGATGCCAGCCCCGCGCGTCGCTCCGCCGGCAAACGGCTCAGCCTCTGGAAATGATCCGTGATGGATCCCGGGCTGCCCTCACACGCAGCCACACTGTCCAAAATGGAGTCACCTTCCTCTGCAGGGAGGGGCTGTGCTGGCTCAGAGCTGTCACAGCTCAGGGATCTGTACTCAGGCCTCCCCTTCTGAAACACGCGCGGGTCCTCCTTGGAGTCGTGCACCTCCCACTTCTCCTTCTCTGCCTCCTCCTTGGACAGCGCTGCCAGGATGGTCTGCTGGAGGAGTGTGTTGGACCTGGACTTGGATGGGGCTCTCCTGATGGGTGGCAAAGTTCGGGAAGAGGCAGCAGGGAATGCCTGTGCAGCCTGTGCAGCGCCAGGGCTGGTGAGCGTGTCACCGAGGGCCTGGCCACTGTCCCTATCCAGGTGCTGCCGGGAGCCAGCTCTGCCTCTGGCATAGGCAGATGGATTGTACAACACTCTGTAGTCCAGGGGGTTCAGTAGCTGGATTGTAGCTGTGGATTCACTCCCAGTGTTGGCTGGTCCTGGGTTATCCTTCTCTTCCTGCTCACATTTGCTGCTCCCATGCTCGGTCTCGCGCTTGGCTGTGGTCGAAAACGCTGCCGCCCTGCTCAGCCTTGGAATTCTTCGGCACATGAGCACTGTAGCCATGGATCACAACTTTACTGGGCTCTGAACTGCTTCCAGGTACTGAAAAAAGGGCAGACGAAGAGTGAGTGGCCTCCACCTCACAGGCAGCACCTTTTAATTTATCCTTTACGCTACAGACAGTGAGGAGACGCCGGAGTTCCCCTTGGAGGGGGCAGCTGGTTCCCTATGGATCATCACCTCATGCAAAGGCACGTCAGGACAAGCACCCAGGTGACCAGAAGTTGGAGTACAAGGCACTCAGGTGTCACCTGATACTCAGCAGACACAAAACAACCTGGCACAGACTGTAAGAGTTAAGAAAAAAAATCGTTTTTTCATTTTTAAGAGACCCAAACTGCTTTGCTTTCGCTCTAAACAATGAAAACGTATTTTTGCAGTAGAGCTGCAGCTTCGAGAGGTTTTATGTGTTCAAACAGAGCATTCTGTGCTTTGGTCATCCTGGCCTGAAGCACCAACCACCACCTGAGGAGTTGTCCAAAGATCCAGGGTGCTGCGCCGCTCTTTGCCCCTGGAGACAGGACGAGGAGCAAAGTCTCTGCACAACCAGGGCACTGGGGGGAAAACTGGCCCAGAACCTGCAGATGGAGACAGGAGGAAAGAAGAAACCCCAGAGCAAAGTGGGAGAAAAGCATGGGAGAAGTAGCATGGTGAGTTGAGAACCAGAGGGAAGGAGCTTTACGCTGCAGATTTGGGATCGTTTCTCAGCTCCCTGATGAGGAAAGATGTGGGATCAGTGCAGGTAAACTCAGTTTTCAGCAGCAAAATGGGAACTTTGGGGGTAGGAGAGGTGGGGGGTGAACACTGTGGGTTTGGGTATGGGAGTGGGAGAGTCCTTCCACTAGCCCAGGTTGCTCCAACCTGGCCTTGGACACTTCCAGGGATGGGGCAGCCACGGCTCCTCTGGGCAGCCAGTGCCAGGGAAGCAGATGAGGATGTGTCCCACCCTCTGCTC